AGCAGAGACCCCAGGCAACAGGGATCCCAGGCAGCAGGGACCCCAGGCAGCAGAGACCCCAGGCAGCAGAGACCCCGGGCAGCAGGGACCCCGGGCAGCAGGGACCCCGGGCAGCAGAGACCCCGGGCAGCAGAGACCCCAGGCAGCAGGGAGTCTACGTGGCACAGACCCCTGGCAGCGGGGAGCCCATGCAGCAGGAACCTCAGACAGTGGGACCTGGGCAGCAGTGAGCCCGGCCAGAGAGCTCCAAGTGCTCCCACAGCAGGTAGGGCTGAGTCACGAGAGTGAGGGTCACAGGAGAGGAGGGTGTGGAAGCACAGCTGCTGGTCCGCTGAGCCATGTGGTAGGCTCCTGGTGGGGTGAGTCCCAGGCCTGGACCCTCTGCAGCCATCCCAGGCTGTGGAGGGGGCTGCAGTCCCCCTACCAGGATGCCCACCCCGTCACCAGGGGCCAGCAGGTCTCCGGCACTCATCTGAGAATGTCACTGCTTCTGCTCAGGGGCACCCCAGACTTGAGGGAGAAGCCCCACCCGATAGTCTGCCTGGTCTAGGACAAACCTGGACAGCCCTCGCTGTCCCTCCCACCAAGGGCTGGCAGTTCTGATCTCACAACTCCTCGCAAAGCATCATGTGATTTCCAAGTGCCAAGCTGCCCTCCCATCCCGGGGTCCCAGAGCCCTGCCAAGGGGTCCAGTCCACCCTGAGGGCATCCACCAAGAAGTGGCTCTCAGGGGTCCCCACACCCCACCACGTCCACCAGAAGCAGAGAGCCTGTCTGTCCTCACCACCCTGCTGAGCCTGTGACACGCCTGCATGCCTGGTAGCTAGTGAAGCTCCTGCTTTTAGGCACAAGGTGGTCTTGACCCTCATCCCCCCAGGTTTCCTTCCCTCTGTCTGCTCCTCAGCCTCAAGGTTTCCTGTTGAAGAAGTTAGATTTTCCCACCCTTCTCTGTTCTTGGGAGTCAAACGAACATTCGACCAACAGAAAACCACTGTGGTCATCTTCAGCCGATGAGAACAGGCAGGGAGAAAAGACAATAAATCCACACTCAGGGGACCACGTTCGGCACAGTCCCCTGTGGTGGTCTCTCCCAGAGCTGGGAGCTGGGGACTCATCTCCCAAACTCTAACGGCCTCCCCCAATCACTCCAGGTTTGTCGGGCGCCCCGGCGACTACGTGTACATTTTCCGTTCCTTCCGAATGGAGGAGGTGAGTGACATTTCATACGTCTCCAGCATCCCTTCTGTTTGCCTTTCCCAATTCGTCTACGCCGTGAACTTGGGAGGAGAGGACACGTGTTTGTTAAGCGAGTGCTGGTTTCTTTCCTTCCTGTTGGAATCTGTTCTCTCCACCTGCTGGGGAGGGCTTTGATCTTATTTGCTGTGTCCCTACGGAATTGCCCTAAAGGGATAACGTCTCTTCAGAGTTGACGAAAGAAAAAAATTACACCCAGTTCTCTCCTTTCTTTTTTCTCTTTTTTGGAAGACTTTGAATATTTTTCCCTCTGATTAAGATGAACTAATGAGGAAAGAACCAGAACTTGGCCACATTTCTTAACTTCAACATTGAAATGCCCACCTCTGTACCCTCAAATACAGTGCTGGTGATGTCTGGCTTCTGGCCACAGAGGGTCTGGTTAGTGCACCAGCCGCCTTCCATGCTGAGTCACAGCCCAGGGACACGCTCCCCTATGTTTGTCCGACCTCCAGCAGCTCTGTAGGACAAAGCGGGGCTTCAGTGGTCCAGGTCGCAGGGTAACCAGTCAGCATTTCCAACTCACAGAATAATTCAGGTCATCAGAAAATAAGGGGGTGGGGCCGGCCCGGTGGCACACTGCTACAGTGCACCACTTGGGAGCGCGGCGCCGCTTCCACCGAGGGTTCAGATCCCACATACAGACCGGCCGCTCACTGGCTGAGCGAGGTGCGGGCGCAACACCGAGGGTTGCAATCCCATTGCCGGTCCCGGTCCGGTACGGGCGCGACACTGAGGGTTGCGATCCGTTGCCGGTCACGTAAAAAAAAAAAAGAAAGAAAGAAAGAAAATAAGGGGGTGAAATAAGGTGCAGAAGGTTGGGGTGGGCATCGGGCACTGGGCGATTTGCCCGTCTGGAGTGCGGCCTAGAAGTTCAACCCCCTGAACGTGGGCCTCCCCCACAGTAACAGGTGTCTGCAGAAAGCCCGTACAGTACTCTTTACTTTTTGCATGACACTTTCTTCACATAGGTGGTACCCTGTCTAATTCTTTAATGGTTACAGGAGTTGGGAGATGTCTCTTAGAATAGAGTAAAGCAAAGGATGTAATTGCTTTTTGCGGAATAATGGCTCACCAAGACAGATTTTTTTGGTAACGTATATAAAGCTTTGCTTGGGACTCAGAGAGGAGCCACTGTGCCTCAGGAGTCACCAAGCATACCTTGTGTTCAGCTTCTTGCCTACAGAGGTGTCCAACCATCACTGCTGGCCCAGTCCCTGCCCTAAGCCCATGAGGGCAGGGCATTGGACCTCTGAGCAGTGGCCAGCTGCCTCAACATGGGGCTTCTCAACTGTGGAGGCCCAGCCTGCCAGGGCAGTACAGGGCCTGTGGTCAGGTGGCCTGTCCATGAGACAGGATACTGGCCCTGGGGAAGGCAGAGGAGCCCTGAGACCCAGCCCCACCACTGCCCACTCCCCGGCAATGCGCTGCCCTCTCAGCCTGGGCTCCAGCCCCGACAGCCTGCAGGTGAGGTGCGTTAGTGTCCTGAGGTTGCCGCAACAAGACACCACAGATTGGGTGGCTTAAAACAACAGAAATACATTCTCTCACAGTCTGGAGGCCAGAAGTCCAAAATCAAGGTGTCAGCAGGGCCGTGCTCCCTCCGAAGGCTCTTGGGGAGGGTCCTTCCTTGCTTCTTCCAGCTCCTGGGGGCTGCAGGAAACCCCTGGCGTTCCTTTACACAGTACTCCAGTCTCTGCCTCCATCTTCACATGGCCGTCCCCGCTCTGTGTCTGCGTATTTTCTCTTCTTTGAAGGACGCCGGTCAATGGATCAGGGCTCACCCAACTCCAGTATGACCTCACCTTAACTTGGTTACATCTGCAAAGACCCTTTTTCCAAATAAGGTCGTGTCCATAGGTCCCAGGGGTTGGAACTTGAGCATTTATTTTTGGAGGACACATGTCGACCCACAGCACAGGGTTGACACCTGACAGGGCTGCAGGAAGCTGACAGCTGCTTTCCCCCCCTGCAGTGCGCACCGGGGGGCTGTCTCATGGAGCTTTGCATCCAGCTGAGTATCATCATGCTGGGCAAGCAGCTGATCCAGAACAACCTGTTCGAGATCGGCATCCCGTGAGTAGCACCCCGCCTGCCAGCGGCCCACGGCTGCTCTGGGTCAGAGTGGAGCAGAGGCGGAAGACGGCCTGGGGCGCGCCAAGACTCTGGTGGTGGTCCGGGTGACAGGGGATGCAGGGCCCCAACAAGGTGGGGGCTCCAGGAGCGGGGAGGTGTGAGGCCAGAGGGGGAAGTTGGGGCAAACGTCTCCCCACCGTGGATGAAGGGAAGGGAGGACGGGGATGGCTCTCCGCACCCCAAGCTGGCTGAGGATTCGGGGTACCAGCAAGCATCCCCAAACTCATATGCTGGCACCCAGGGTTGGCAGGTGGAAGACCAGGGGCTTGCCTTCCTTGCCCTGAGCCCTTCAGAAATCCGTGTCCCGTGCCCTTGTCCCCAAAGGCAGCCGGCTCTGTGGAGTCAGGGACTCGGGCTATCTTCTGTGATCCGCACCCCTCCCCTGAGGGTCCACTTGGACACGGCCAGACCCCCCTGCACCGCAGTTACCTTCTGGAGGCCCCGGCCCCACGCCCACCTAGCTGGAGACCCGAGTGACGTGGCGTTTCTTTCAGGAAAATGAAGAAGTTCATGCGGTACCTGAAGCTGAAGCGGCAGAGCCCCTCGGACCGCGAGGAGCCCGTGAAGAAGAAGCAGCGGTACGAGGTCGACTACAACCTGGAGCCCTTCGCGGGCCTCGCCCCGGAGTACATGGAGATGAGTGAGTGCGGCGCGGGCCGGGGCGGCGGGACGGGGAC